ATCATGTGAACAAAGTATATATCCTGCGCACAGAGCGACTGTAAAATGCTATGATGGCGAATAATGAAATTGTTAACGAAAGCGCAAGTTTGTTGCAGAACATGAAACACTATTTGGTAACTGAGAATGACATAACAAGATTAAGCAAAGAAGAAAAGTAATGATATATTTAGTAAAAGAAGACGCAACAAAGCTGTTGAAGAAAATATCGATATTACAACAGGCGGCAATAATGAGTGGAATTGAAACAAAATCCAATTATACAGAGGACATTTTACCCCAAATGTTAAATGGAGCAGACCTTTCACCATTTAGTCTACATGAAGACCCCTTAATAAATACTAAATATGTGGCTGAAAAATCATGTAGGACAATTAACAGTTCAAAATCCAGCACAACAAGCTCATATTTGTAGCAGCAATGAAAAAAGTATGTTGAGAAATGCTCAGAATACGAGAAAAGAAAACAAAATGCTAAAAAATGATGTTCACACAATGGGAATAGTTTTAGAAACAGGTATTAATTGAAATGAAAGACATAAAAAAAATGATCAAAGATGTAAAAAAATGAAAAATCAACAAGAGAACCACATACTGAAAGCAAATCTAGCCACAAAATACATGTCCCATGTTCATACATGAAAGAAAACTTCAACAACAACAACAACTTCAGACCCAGATTTAACAAATACCAGGCTCATCCTAGGAGACACACCATATCATTGGATCCTTACCAAAAGAGGTTAAACAAGCATATCAGATTTTAAAGAAAACAATGTTGTTTTTTTTTAAAAGACAAAGACACTCAGGGTATATTTTGTTTTGAAATTAAGTATAAGTATTTAATATAGTGACATTTTGTGTGAAGGAAATATTATTAATCTTATACAGTTATAATGTTTCGTGTAATCTTTATTGACAGAATTATATTGACATAATTGTTAGTTTAATTGACTACTTAAATATCTTAAACTTGTTATTGTTCATTGAAAAATATTTTCTTTAGTGTTCATGTTATATATGAAATATTGTTTGTTTTTAATGAATCTACACAATTTTTTTTAAGAGTATAAACAGTACTCTTTATTTACTTCTTGTACATGTAAGTTAATTATTTTTGTGCTAATGCAAGACTTACATCTTTAAAGGCACACAACTTGTTTTTTTTTGTGAGGACACAAAATTTTTAAAAGGAGGGGGTAATGCAGGGATCAGGTGATCTAATAATTCACCTGCTTACTTTATTCTTTTAATTGAGTATTTTTATGTGCAAACTCCGTATAACTTAATGGTTTTAAAAGTGGGTGGGGTATTGTTTACATTATTTTTAATCTCAGTGATAAAGCTATTTACCGTTCAATATAAAGTTCAAGATTGAATTACCTTCTAGCGGTAAACTTTATCCACATTTTTGTATGTCTGTTTATAATTGTCATCTACTGTTAACGTCAATTTCTAAAGATATTGGATAATTTGGCTGATAGTGAGTTACCGGCATGTTTACAACATTTTATGTGTACCTGTTACGTTTATGTCTATTACGTCATTGAATTATGCGTTCTACGTCATTGATTTCTCGTGGGCGTTTTTTCTTATTGGTAAAACATTGGGTTTTTGACAGTTGACAGACGATGCTTTACAGATTATGTCATATCTTAGGTAATTGCTTTTATTATGTAATATTTTGTATATCCTGTTTAATTGAACTTGAAAGATAATCTTTGAATATGTTTTACAAGTATGTATTTCTGCAGAATTCTGCTGAATTCTGCCACTGTTATTTATGACATCACACTTTCTGCCAAATTCTGCAATTCTAGCGGAATTCTTCTAGTATAAATAGAGATGTTTTCGAATATGCAGATCAGATTAGATTCAGATGAGATTGAGATAAGATGAGATGAAATTAGACTGAGATGAGATTAGATTCAGATTAGATTCAGATGAGATTGAGATGAGATTGAGATGAGATTGAGATGAGATTTGATTGAGATTAGATGAGATTGAGATAAGATAAGATTGAGATTGAAGTTGGACTCTGAAATTCCAAAAGATAAAAATATTTTTATTTAATTTAGTAATAAAAAAAGGTTATTGGGGGGGAAAATTTGAAAAAAATAACCCTTGGGAAAATTGTAAATAATACAAAAATAAAATAGAAAAATTTAAATTTAAAAAGATATTTTTAAATTTAAATAAAAACTAATAGAAATTGTTTAAAAGAAGAATATAGTTTATAAAAGACTAATCATTATTTATAGATGTTTTAAAAACAAATTATTTTTATATAGTATTTTTTCTAACTGTTCAATAAAATTCTTAATTTTAAAAATTTTTAAAAAAAGACTTTTTCCTATTTATATTTCCCTTTATTTAAAAATTGTTTAAACCCCCAAAAAGTGTTGCGCTTTTACGTACCAAAGGAAAAATTTAAAAAAAATGAAAAATCGCCACAATTTTATACAGTAAAACCACTATTTTTAACTTTAATTTTTTCATTTAAATAAAAGAACATTTTTAGACAATTTTTCATGGGATTTCGACATTTCACGGCAAGGAAAATCGTGCGACATTTATCGTAACAAATGCGACATTTAACGATGGCAGGTTTTGCAACATTTAACGGCGGTTGCGACATTTAGCGACAATGATGCAACATTTAGCGGCGATGCGACATATAATGGCGCCACAAAGTCCCTGATTATTGTAAAATAATACAAAGACTAATTGATCTATGCTTTTTTATATAAAATTAAAGCTGCAAGCTAAGAAACTACCGTAGAAGTTTGAATTTCACTTTACTTTTTTTTATATGCATTGCCCACTTCGTCATAAGAAATGAATCACAGGGATGGTGCTGAGCTGAAACTTTTGCTGTAAAGTTACTATTTTAGTCCTCAATGACACGATTTGAAAAGAAAAATGCCCTCATAACATAATTTCTTAAATTGTTAAGATTTGTATCATGAACTCTAGTATGAGCATTCCTCCGAGGAGTAAATATATAAATATTTAGGCACTGCCTGGTCTATACTTTATTTTTAAATCAATGCACCGAAGTACAACAAGTATCATTCACAAGTTTAAGGCACCTTCTTTGAACGGACTCTGGTTGATTTATCATATAATCATATACATTGTAATTATATGTTCTTGATTAGATTAGAGGTGGCAGTACAATAACTTAACTTTCTTGGGTGTTAAACGAGTAAAACATCCTTCGTAGTTGACGTCTGTTTGCCAGCTCCACTTTAGATTTTAAGAAATATAATTCAAATCATATTCTGGACTAAAGTGAATTAAAGTAATCTAGTTTGTTACAATGTAACAATTTGATTCTTAGTAATTTTCTTTTGCAAATATATATGTTATAATTTATGAAAAAACAACAACAACAACAAAATATTTTTTTATTCTGCTCCTGTCAACTCGCAAACAGAATTGTTTAAACTTTAGAGTTGTAATGATATTGGAGAATCTCCAGATTCTAAAAAAATATGGTTAGGTCGATCGGTCAGTCGTAATATAGACCTGAATAACTAAGTCTAAAGATCCATAGATTTGATGTTGAGACTATCCTTTATTATTCATTTTGTTTTTGAGGTCAGTTGATTTGAAGACTATCCTTTATTGTTCATTTTGTTTTTGAGGTCAGTTGCCTTAATTCCAAGGTCATGCGGTCTTGACCACAAAAGATTGCCAGATTAATAACTACAAAACGCTTCAAAATTGCATACAGTCTAAAATTTGGAATGCAGATTGTCATGTCAACCACCAGTTGATTACCTAAATGCCTTTTTGATTTTGTTGGCCATAGGTCAAAAGCAAAGAGGCCCTGATCTTGATCACAAAAACCTTGTTCGAACAATTTGGACTATATATATATACCTTGTCCGACCAATGATCAGAAAATGTTTTGGCAAAGTAAGGGTTAGAGCGGATATGATTAGTAAATGATGCCTTTTGAGTTTGAGGTCAGTTGGTTAAAGGTAAATTCACCTTAGTTTTGGCTCTGAATGATAACTAAACGCTATGACCTAAAGGCCTTAGATTTGGCGTGAATGGTAATCATGACTGCTAGATTAGTTTTATCGATTTAAGATCACTAAGTCAACTTGGTCTTCGTTAAATAAAGTTTAAGCTTTACCGGTAGTCAATGTGTAAACAAATTACACATGCTGATAGGTAGAAAAAAGACATGTAATTGTATAGCATTAACTCCAAAACATTTCAGCTGGTTTTATGCATGTATTACTTCTAATTATAGATTAAATAAGTAATAATTGAATGATTTTAATTGATAAACTATATTACATCTCCTCCTCACATTTCTTTGTCTCTTGAACGTGATAGTAATTGATCCTAGAATATAATGATTATATAAGGATCGTGGAGACAAGGACCCAAATCAGAATAAGTAAAAAGAACAGCAGTGTATTTAATCTATAAAGTATATAACAAACAAATATTTTTTATGTTTTAAATTAATATAGGAAATCTTTATTTCATATCTGATACGATTCTATTTGAAGAAATGATATGTGATATTCTTTCTTTGCATAAAGAAAAAACAAACACCTTATGAAAAGCAAATTCGTCGTGCATCGCCCATTTTCTAAAATGAAGTAATTTATTGACATTGGCATGACAACACAATATCATCCGAGAAGAACATTATAAAGTACAAAAATTTAACTCAATAAAGAGAATTTCTGTGTACAATGGGAAGTAATAACTGAACGATTATGGGAGGAAGTTTGTAGCATTTATTTCCCTTATGCAAAATTCAAATACATGTAGAAGTGCGGTCATTTGACCTGACCTGTTTGGTTCCATATTTTAAATATTGTATATATACTAGTAATTGCTTGTTGGGATAATGAAATAATCACGAACAGTTCAAGCGCGGCATTTTAAATGAAAAACGTAGTTTATGCCATTGGAATATTTCACTACTTTTATTTTATTACGGTGCATTTTTTCTCTCTTATTTTCAGGTTAATTATTCCGTGTATAGAAAAGTTTAGTATTTGCAACCACAATTACACTTCTGTTCTGATTGAAATGATGTGGTTAACAACTGTTGCTTTAATACTGAGTAGTATATGCTACCAAACTGAAGCCAGTAAGTTCTTTAAATTTCTCAAAGAGCGATTAATTATAAACTTCGTTCGATTTGAAAATCTTAACAAAACATGCAAAGATACTAAATAATATCATAATGTATGAAATATGGAAAGTTGAATTGATTTTACACCATATGATAGATCTAAGTGATTTATAAGGTTACTGACATAATACATCTATAATTAAACGTCATGGGCCTATTCATAAAATTAAAAAAAAAATTAATTAAAATCTACGTAAAACCAAGCAAACAAACAAATAAAATCTGTTATAATGATGATAACTGTAAGAGATTGTCTGAGATATTTGCTATCGGGCACTGATAGACTGTGAAGAAGCAATACGTGGGTGTCCGTACAGTGTATATTTTGTAAATTGTTTTAACTTCGTATTCCGAAGTTATAGAGGATATTTGTTTAGTTCAATGTAAGATCGGAATATAAGCATCAAAAGGTATATTTCACGAGTGGCTCAGCCACGAGTGAAATATGAACTTTTGGTGTTCACAAGGTGAAATATATTTCCATCTTACACTAAACTAAACAAATTTTCTTTTTATTATATGTAAAGAAACGTTTTAAAAAGACATTAAACCTAATACTAAATGAAAAGCGCGCCAAATAATAATACAATGTTACGTCATTTACGACGTCACGTTATTAAGTTGGTTACGCTGGTATTTCACTGAAACAACGTAAATGGGCTTAAATTCAAAACAGTGAAATTATCTAATTGATAATACTGAAATTATCAGTTTTAAATCACTGATATATTTCTATAATCCACCGAAAAGCATGTAATAAATTGTTTTATTGACGCTTGAATATTTTTTTTTTGTTTGGAATATTTCAGGAATAGATTTGCCAGTATCATGGAGAACATGTGGCAATGTTTACAACATGCAAGATGTAGACGAAATACACCTGACATATGACGGTGACAATAGGAGAATTTCAAGATGTACACTTCAGTTTACAAACAGTGACACCAGGTGGAAACAGATTTGTGTAAAACCAACGATTTTACGATTGCAGTGTTCTACCACTGTAAACTATTATATCTTTAAGGTGACACCCTCAATTGATAGCGAGGTTTGTAAGTTATGATTATAGTTATACCGAACATTGGTGTTTTATGGCACGAATCTATGTGTTAAGTGATCTTGTCTGTAATATAACTTAAAGTTATTCTAGAAAAATGTGTTACACTTGTTATGTATGCAACATATTACATGTATATAATTTATATCTGACCAGTTGGTATTTCCAATATTATCATTGTTCTATTTTTAGAACATAAACTACATGTATGTACTAGAAGGTTTTTACCTGTTGTAGAAAACTCATGCATTATATTTAGATAGAAACTTCTGGAATGATCTTTATTGTTGAAGTTGCTAGATTATGATTACTTGAGAACATAATAGACCTTTCTGGAAACTTCTTAGTTAATATATATAAGGAGACATTTTTTCATTAATCTTATCTTTAAGTCATCAGTTACCTTTTTAGTCATCAGTGATCTTTTAGGTCATCAATATATTTGGAGTATTATTCAACTTGGAAATTAAGTGATTTATTGGAGCTTGGATTATTAATTATTCTTGTGGATTTTATTGTGGGAATTTATTCTAAAGTGTTCTTGGATTTAACTGTGCTATAGAAAAAGGATCATTCCAGGATCAGACTAGACATTTGTAATTTTTATTTGGACTTCAGGTATTTGTAAAGATAATTTTTATTTTATTTTTCTTTAATAATTTTTCTGTAATAAATTTGTTATTGTTACAAGTTTGTTGCTGGCTTTTCTTTCTCGTTACGCCTGGCTCGTAACAGAAATTGGGGGCTCGTCCGGGATTTAAATATTTCTTTTTGGCTACAATATTGGAAATTATTACTGTTTATGTTACATTTTATTATTACCGTATTTACTCATCTGAGTTGATATCATAGTTGTTCTATTAAGTGTACCTTTCATTTTGAAATTTTTGAAACACATCACTTTCTGAGTTTAAAACCAGCAGCAAGCAGTCATGTCTTTTAATTTAGAAAAGTTTGTAGCTGAACCTTCCCAGGAGGTATTAGATTTGGCTAAGAAAACTGATTTGCTCGATCTTGCAAAAAAGTATAATTTATTAGAAATTAAATCTTCAATGCGTAAACAAGAAATTAAAAATCTTCTGATTCATTATTTTGTGGATGAAGATATTTTTGGACAAGATGCACTTTCTCTGATTGTTGAAACAAACCCAGAAATTAAGATAAAAGAGCTTGAACTTCAATTTAAATTTGAACTAGAAAAAATGAGATTAGAAAAAGAAAGGGAAGAAAGGCAGTTACAGTTAGAAAAAGAAAGGGAAGAAAGGCAGTTACAGTTAGAAAAAGAAAGGGAAGAAAGACTGTTAGAAAAAGAAAGGGAAGAAAAAGAAAGGGAAAGGCAGTTTGAAAAAGAAAGAGAAGAGAGAGAATTTCAGTTAAAAATGAGAGAATTAGAAATTAAAGAGAGAGCAAATCAGTTTGAACATAGAATCAATTCAAAATTTGATGTCACTAAAAATATTAGGCTTGTTCCCCCTTTCCAAGAAAAAAGAAGTTGATAAGTATTTTCTTCATTTTGAAAAGGTTGCTGAAAATTTAAAATGGCCAAGAGAGCACTGGACATTACTTTTACAGAGTGTCTTAATTGGTAAAGCTCGTGAAATCTATACACAACTTACTGTTGAACAAAGCTCTAATTATGATAATGTAAAAGAATTAATTCTGAAAGGTTATGAGTTAGTACCAGAGGCCTACAGGCAAAAATTCAGAAATTCTAAGAAAGAAATTGGTCAAACCCATGTCGAATTTGCAAGGGAAAAAGAACAACTTTTTGATCGGTGGTGTCTATCTAAGAAAATTAATAAAAATCATGAAAAGCTCAGACAGCTCATGTTAGTTGAAGAGTTTAAACGTTGCATTCACTCTGATGTTAAATCTTTCTTAGATGAAAAAACAGGTAGAAACTTTAGAAGAAGCTGCCCGTCTAGCTGATGATTATTCTTTAACCCACAAAGTCTCATTTATAATAAAGGGAAGTCCACACCCTCACATTTTAATTCCCAAGTTCAGTTCTGGTATTTTATCTGGCTCATCTAGTCAGTCAAATACTCCCAAATCAAAGTCATCTGATGAACATAAAGGTCATAGTCCCTTATCTCGTCCGACATGCAATTATTGCAAGAAAACTGGACATCTTATTTCTGATTGCTTTACCTTAAAAAGAAGGCAACAGCAACGTGATGAGGCCAAACCCACAGGTCTTACCACTTCAAGGTCTGAACCTCAGTCTTGTATTGATAACAATGCAATTTTGAAGGTCAAAGAACCCAAGTCTGATTCTATAATGGAGATTTATGAACCATTCCTTTCGGAAGGTTCCGTGTCACTTATCGGTGACACTTGCCCACCTACTCCTATTACAATTTTAAGAGACACAGGAGCTTCTCAATCTCTTATTTTAGCAGATACACTGCCTTTTTCTGAGAAGACTTCTTCTGGATCTAGTGTCCTTATTCAGGGTGTAGAGTGTGGTTTTTCTAATGTCCCTCTCCATAATATTTATTTGTCCTCAGATTTGGTAACTGGGCCGGTGGCTGTAGGTATAAGATCTTTCTTACCCTTTAAAGGTGTTCAGTTATTGCTAGGTAATGACTTAGCTGGAGATAAGGTAGTGGTTTAATCCACTTGTAACTGACACTCCTTGTGTGGATCAGATATCTGACGCCCATTGAGCAGGAAATTCCCTGACCTTTACCCTTCATGTGCAGTTACTCGAGCTATGGCTAAGAAGGCCATTCAAGAAGATAATTATTGTTCAGATATTGACTTAGCTGATACTTTTATAGGTCAGTCTTTTGATAATGAAAAGAATTTTTCTCTTACTCCTACTCTGCCTGAAACTCAGACAGATTTTTTCAATATCTGATTTTTCTACACCAAGATCTAAAGATCAAGGTCATGATACGCTGTCAAGGTCACAGCTTATCCAGGAACAACAAAATGATCCTGAGATTTCTGTCCCTTTTTTCAAAAAAGGCTTTTTAGTGAAGATGAAGCTTTACAAGTCCCTGTTTGTTATTATGAAAAAGAATGGGATTTTAATGAGAAAATGGCGACCGCCCAATGTCCCTGCTGAAGAGGAGTGGACTGTAAATCACCAAATTGTGGTCCCTAAATCATATCGCCAGGAAAATATTAAGCCTTCTGGCTCATGAAACACCCATGGCAGGTCATTTAGGTGTTAATAAAACCTACCATAAAATTCCTCAGTCATTTTTTATTGGCCTGGCCTTAAAGCAGATGTATCTCTAGGTACTGTAAAATCTTGTCCATACTTGTCAGATGGTTTGGAAAACCTAATCAGACAATACCAAAAGCCTCAATTTACAGCCTATTCCTGCATTTGATTGAACCTTTTAGTAGAGTTACTTATTGACTGTGTAGGTCCATTACCAAAACTAAATCAGGTTCTCTCAGTACAATTAACTATTATGTGTTGCTTCTACGCGCTTCCCTGAAGCTATTCCTTAAGGAATATTTAAAGCCAAAACTATTGTCAAGGCTCTTGTTGAAGTTTTTCACATTTGTTGGTTTACCTAAGTTCAGTACAGTCCGATCAAGGGTCAAATTTTATGTCTGGTATTTTTCCAGCAGGTCATGCACGAGTTAGGAATTACTCAATATAGGTCTTCAGCCTATCAATCCTGAAAGTCAAAGGTGCATTAGAAAGATTTCACCCAGACTCTGAAAAATATGATAAGATCATATTGTTTTGACACTGAAAAAGACTGGGATGAAGGCAAATCCATTTATTGTTTATTTGCTGGTAAGAGAATCTGTTCAGGAATCTCTTGGCTTCAGCCCTTTTGAATTAGTATTTGGTCACACTTGTCCGAGGACCCTTAAAACTTCCTAAAAGAGAAATTCCTGTCTGAAGATGACATATGCTTTAAATTTGCTTCAGTATGTATCAGATTTTTCGAAATAGGTTGGGACTAATGCATGTGAGTTAGCTAGACACTTTAATTTAAAATCAACACAAAGTAAAATGAAATCAAGGTATGATGAGAATGCTGCAGGAAAAGAAGTTTTAACCAAAGCTGGTGATAGAGTACTTGCTCTTTTACCTATACCTGGAAAACGCATTACAGGCAAGATTACTTTGGTCCCTTATACTATTGAAAAGAAAGTCAGTGGACCTTAATTATATTATTAATACTCCTGGGAGGGCGAAAGCAAAAAGCAAATGTGTCATATAAATATGTTAAAAGAATAATTTTGGACAGAGATAGCAAAAATTAGTATAAAACCTATATACTTTTTGTAAACTCTGTTCCACAAAATCAATGTTCCAATTGAATTTAATAGGTGTGAAAATTTTTGAAAAGTCTGATCCTGGTTCACCCAAAGCTTTGAAAACTCTGAATATTCTGAAAAATCTGGATGAAAAACTTGCTCACTTAGAACCGTCGAAAACGAGAATGAACTGAAACAGCTTATTTTATGAATATGAACACTTATTTCCTGAAATATTCCCCACACGTTTACTGACAAATACATCATGACGTCATCTTGAAAACTCTGAACCAATAAAACATCCATATAGAACGAATCCTATAAAACAAAAAGTACCTGAGACAAGAAGTTCAGTATTTATTGATAATGACTTTATTGAACCAAGTCAAAGCAGGTTACAGCTCTCCATGTATTCTTGTTACGCGAAATCAAATGGAACATATAGAAATGTGTACATATTATCGTAAAAGTGAAACTCTGTAACAAAAACTGATTCATTCCTATACCAAGAAATTGATGATGTATTGACAAATTGGAAAAGCAAAGTATGTAAAAAGTTTGATCTATTCTAAAAGGATTCTGGCAAGTCCACTTACTGAATAGAGCAAAGAAATATCAGCCTTTGTAACACCAGACCGGCTTATATCAATATAAAGTCATGCCATTTGGTATGAAAAACCACCAGCAACTTTCAGAGACTTATAAACATGGTAATATTTGGGCTACACGGATGTGACGGCATAATATTGATGACGCAATCATCTACTCTGATGAAATGGGAAAGGAACATCTCACAAAACTATAAGAGCATTTCTTCGACCGACTTAGTGATTGCTTAAATTGACTAGTATAATCTTGGCAAAAAAGGTGAATTTTGTCCATGCAATTTTAACCTTTTTAGGACATGTTAGTGGGACAGGGTAAAGTAAAACCAATAGAAAGCTAAGGTCAAAAGCTATCTCTGAATTTCCTGTGCCTTATGTAAAAGCAACTGATGGATTTCTTGGTAATGGCAGGGTATTAATCTGTAAATGTTTGTAAATTAATTTTTCGTTTTTATTGCAGAACCATGTGACCAAATTTGCTAAAGAAAAAGAAACAAATTCATTTGAATGAACAAGTGGTCCGGCATTTAACAGCCTTAAAGCCATACTTAAGAGTGCACCAGTTCTTTTGGCACCAGATTTTAATAAAAACTTTAAAGTTAGCTGTAGATGCTAGGACATAGGTGCTGGAATGTATTGATCCATGAGAAGACAACAATGGGTGGTTGATCATCCTGTTTGTTTTACTTTTTACCTAAAAAAGTTTAATGAACATAGAAAAATTACTCTACTATAGAGAAAGAGTGCCTTGCTCTTATTCTGCTATTCAAGCATTTTTGAAGTTTATCTAACTTCTTCAAAAGTTGCCTGTTGTTGTCTTTAGTTGAGTCACAATCCCCTCAACTTTTCTTGCATAAACTTAAAACAAAAATCAAAGGTTGTTTGCCGGTGGAGCTTATTTTTGCAAGAATATTAGTCTTGACATTAGACACATTAAAGGGAAAGATAATTTGAATCCCTGATCACTTTCAACGTGTCCTAAAAACTGTTATTTGCAGTATTTTTAAAATTTAACATTTATATGATATGATTGATTATTTTTTGTTGTTGTTTGCTAAATTGTTTGTAATAGCATTTATATGATATGATTGGTTATTTTTTTTTGTTGTTGTTTGCTATTGTTTGTAATACAACATATATATAATGAATGTATAAAATTGTGTTAACATTTCTCCTATGTTATTTGTTAGTTTACATTGTTTTGATTTATGTAAAGAAATATTCATTTCATTCATATTTCTTTTTTCTTGAAGAGGGGAAGTGTTATGTATGCAACATATACATGTATATAATTTATATCTTGACCAGTTGTATTTCCAATATATTATGCATTGTTTCTATTTTTAGAACATAAACTACATGTATGTACTAGAAGGTTCTTAACTGTTGTTAGAAAACTCATGCATTATATTTAGATAGAAACTTCTGGAATGAATCTTTATTGTTGAAGTTGCTAGATTGATGATTACTTGAGAACATAATAGACCTTTCTGGAAACTTCTTAGTTTAATATATATAAGGAGACATTTTTTTCATTAAATCTTATCTTTAAGTCATCAGTTACCTTTTTAGTCATCAGTGATCTTTTAGGTCATCAATATATTTGGAGTATTATTCAACATTGGTGGAAAAATTAAGTGATTTATTGGAGCTTGGATTATTAATTATTCTTGTGGATTTTATTGTGGAATTTATTAATAAAGTGTTCTTGGATTTAACTGTGCTATAGAAAAAGGATCATTCCAGGATCAGACTAGACATTTGTAATTTTTATTTGGACTTCAGGTATTTGTAAAGATAATTTTTATTTTATTTTTCTTTAATAATTTTTCTGTAATAAATTTGTTATTGTTACAAGTTTGTTGCTGGCTTTTCTTTCTCGTTACGCCTGGCTCGTAACACACTAAACTAAAGGCTATTACAATAAGTTGTTTGTTTGTTTGTTTGTTTCATTTTACGCCTTTTCCCAACAGTATTTCGCCTATATGACTGAAATACTGTTGGGAGAAGGCGTAAAATAAAACAAACAAACAACTTATTGTAATAGCGTTTAGTTTAGTGTAACATATTTTTCTAGAAGTACTTTATAAGAATCCCCAATTTCAAGTTATACATTTCTATTTTTTTTATCACTATTTGAAATACTTATGGAAAATGTACTTATTCAACTAAATGTAGACCAACCCACTTTAATGATCTGATAAACAAAAAGGTACGGGATAAGATATCATGCAATTTAGTAATTTTTCTATTTGAGCTAGGGTTGAAATTGTTGGGGGCGAATCTGCGATAATAGCAGACACAAACTTATGTACAGTGAGTGTCATTGCATAATATATCCAAATGAAAATTTAGAACTTATTTAATGACATTTTTTAACATTTCAGTACAAATAATATCGGCATTGTTATATAAAAATGAGTCTCTGGTTGATAACATAGCAAATCAGAGACATGACTTGTAAAAATCGGTACAAATATATCCACTTACACTGCTATTTAAGATATAAAGACGAATATAGGATTAACGTAAATTAAAAGATAATGTGTAATGTATTTTGATTTTAATATTGTAGAACAAGCTTGAATGTGACCGTACACATTTTACAGAATGGTGCTCCGATGCCAAGGATTTGTTCCTAGTATTTAACAGTTATGGTTCCGAACTAAATCATATATCTCTAACCATCACCTTAGTTACAGGTAAGTTTTTTTTGTAACATTACTTCATACGATATTTCCTAGAATATGTATTATGCATGGTATATTATAATCTTTGAAGTAATAAGCATCGCCGGTAAAATATATATCAGCAATGTTTTTGTTATATGTTAAACAGATTATAATAAATGCTATTATATCCTAAAATAACTTGGACAGAAAGGCATAGAATGCAAGCATTCTAATTGGCTATAATATCTTTTCTTTTCTCTGTAACTTAACCCCTACCAAAATATTCAATATGAAAGTGAACATTTTCACCCTGTCCAATCGTAAATCGAGTTGTATTCAACAGTTTAAACAAAGCATAACACTTTCACTAAAATTGCTTTAAGGAATATATAAAACCTGACATATAGTCACAAGTTATTGACATCGATTCACGTGTTAGTGCATATTATTTGTTTTAAGGATTTTCGTCATATAGACGACGCTAGTCGAGGGTGATACCGCCAAAACCTGTTTATATATTCAGCCATATAACCAGTTAAGCAATCATTTTTACAAATTGTATCATAGTTTGGAGACCTTTCTGTTGAAAATGTGTCAGGGTTAAATCGTATACATATACATGCACAGTGCGTTAACTGGAGTGCGGGTATTAGTTACCCGCACTCCAGAGCATGTCCATTGATTGGTTCATTTTTGCTGGGGTTTACATATTGTGACGGCAGATAAAGGGAAAGCGACAGAAATGTCATATTCAGATGTTCGTTCATTGGTTCATTTTTGCCGGGGTTTCATATTGTGACAACAGGGAACGTGCTTTTATGTTTGACTATGATACAAAAGAGAAAGAACGCCAAAACACTCGGCAATCTGATTAATACTCGGGGGCTACGCCCCCTCGTACAAATCAGATAGCCTCGTGTTTCGGTGCTCTTTCTATTACTTAATAATACAGCAAACCCACCGTGCATATCCAGTAACGCAAGAAAGTGCAATTAAGGTTAAAGTGACGCCGGATCTGTGCAACGCTATTGCCAAAACGAATAACACAGTAAGTAAACGAACCAAAATATTTTTTATAGAAATGAATTAGCGCATACGGCTGCTACGACATTATACTTTAACCAGCATCACAATTATTTTTAGGAATATGTTTACTTTTTAAGATCATTCGTGAGAAAGACAAACCTGATTATTGTTTTGAATGTGACTTTTGTGTTTCGTCAAATAAATTGGTAAATTTAGCACATTTAAAACTACAGTGTTCTATTTCGTCCACACATTTTCGCGAGTGACACGTATGGTGGCTGATTTTGTACGCTTTTGTGCGTCTAGTTGGCGCTAGCGACAACACGACAAAGCGCCAAATAGCGTGTTTTCGGACTTTCGTCTTGTCGCTAGCGACAACACGTCAAAGCGCCAAACGACGCCTTGTCGCACTGTCGTCCTGCCTCTAGCGAAGCACGCCAAACGGCGCGTTGACATGCGCGCGATGTCGCTCTGTCGCTTGGCTAATAAGCCAATCCTTCGATTTGAAGCGAGCGACAATGTGACATCGCGACAACATGCCTCACGACAACGCGCCGTTTGGCGTGCATCGTTTGCGACAGGGCGACAAAAAAGAGTCCGACAACGCGCCGTTTGGCGCTTTGTCGTGTTGTCGCTAGCGCCAACTAGACGCACAAAAGCGTACCAAATCAGCCACTATAAACACGCGATAATTATCGCGTGTCTACTAGCGGAATAGGACACCGTATAAAATTTTTTTTCATATTCTGTATACTACAAGTGTCGTTTAACAATAGAAGGAAGGTGGTAAAATAAGATTTAGCTAGTTTTAATGAGATAACCGCCGTTGCTACATTGCTTCATTCACGACTTGGGCGTTACCTCCTAATATTGGTCTAAATTACGTTTATCTGCTAAATTAAGTGAAATATGACACGAGTAGATTGGCTTAGGTACACCGAATATAAAATAATCATTAAGTAAAATGTACGTTATTGTATTTAAAGTCTTTAAGATATCAACAAAATCTAAAAATCGCCATCAATTCGCTATCACGAATGATATTGAAAAATAAACATTTTCATAGAAATCTTTATTATGAGGTTTATAATTTAATGTCTCAGCAACTGTATGCGCTACCTCATTTCTTAAAGTTGTGTGTACAATAAAAATGTTGGTCCATTTATTTATCGCGGTGCTCATTTTAGCCACTTAATTATGCGTTACTTTTGCACAATTCCAGCGATATTTGCACATTCCTGCGTTACTGGATATACACGGTGAAACTTCCTACATTTGAGAGAAAAAAATAAAAACAACGTTACTTCATAAATTGACAACAGTCGTCTATGTACATGTAGCTTACATAGGCAACGTTACCATTTTATAAAGCGCAACTGTCGACTATTTACTTTAAATCAATAATATATTGTATGGCGTGATGTTTATAACAATGAACAGTCTTTTTTTTTCATTAAAAACTCAGGTGATTTAAAACCTTTTGATTAATATAAACTTTATATTCTTATATAACTCTGCGACAATTTTAATTCACATAGAACTTTGCAATTCTCTTCTAGTTCAGCGACGAATACTAGTTATTGGATTAAGGTTCTAAAAACTTGGTTGAAATGGTTTCATATATAATTGCATTGTCAGATACCCACGGTTGATTGTTTTTATGCATATATCACATTAAGAGAGACTAAAATAAACTTTCTTTTCAGTTATTCCGGAATCCTTGATTCTAGGAATATCTATCCCTGTCGGGTTGATGTTATTGCTGGTTATTGTATGTATATGTAAGAAGAAATGTGACTCTGACCAGAGTACATCGACAGGTAAAATTGAATTTTCTTTGGTAAAGTTAAATAACCTTATGTTTATCCATCTATAGCATAACATGACAGGTGTTTATGACGTGTGTTGTATTACATATAATATTATTGTATGGCAACATTCATGAATACGGTATCATTGTTTGCTCTTGATCACTAAAATAATGTATTAAAAAGGAAACATTTTATCATCATATGTATATTTTATCTTAGTACATAACTATAGCTAAAATGTTTAATTCTACACGCTTACTAATAATCTATCAACTGATCAACAGTAACCTTTTCAGATCAATGAAGTTTTTTGAATTTTGTTAATTTAATTAACGCTTTTCTTCTCTTCGGAATGTCCTCCAATAAGTGGGAGCAAGAGGTACGAGTCAGTTACCAGCATATCCACGGGTAGCAGAGGGAAATTCAGGCTCGCGCGCAATTCACACATCAACATCACCAAGATTATCTGTCAACCGGATAAGAAACCATCCGACCTATCACACTGGATATGACTTACATCCTATACAAACAAATCATCACATGAATAACACTTACATGTATCAAAGCAACCCGCAAACAGAGCCATCTGGTCATTTTGCTGTGGCACAGGTACAAACTGCAATCCCAATTCAAACTTCTCCAGGTGGAGTAAAGAACCACACGTTTAATCAAGTCTACCATCATTCAAATACGACCCATGTTAACCCTACAGTGAATATTTCTACCGTGCCAGGATATTTAAACAGTGAACAATGTTATCAAAACAGCACTCAGTATCACCCTGTACAGAATATAGTATCGATGCACACACCAGCAACACATTCTCGGTACGGACACACTAGTAATGGCTGTGATCTTAACCTAAGTACCAAAGCTTTATCTCCTCGTTTGAACACCTCTCCAAGACAACCTCGAAATAAACAAACATCCAAACAAAATACTTCTGGGTACCAAAGTTTCATACCGCATGGTGCATTTACTGAAAAGTCGTCAAGGCTTACGGCTTCTCCTAAAATAAATCAACAACTAAGATCATCTGACAATAGACAATCTTTCCATGGACAAAATCGAGTACAACAACTGCCTTCTACCAGCCAAAAGCATACGCAGCAATCCCCAGACCACGTGCAGATAAGCGTGCATTCTCCAACTCATGGATCCACATCACCCATATTATCAAGTAGACAATCGGTCTTCTATAAAACAGATGGTTCCTCTTTAAACAGTTCACAAGCCTCTTCTCCATTACCAAAAGCTAGGGTAAACAATAAAAGACAGGGTCACACACAAGGAAGCAGCCTCACCCCGGATTATAAACCAGTACAGCCACCATCGGGTAATAATCTATCGTCTGTTTGTATTAAGATTAAGTATGATTGACAATTTCATTTTGTTCATTAAGCAGCTTTATTTGCATTGTGTATTATATAATCAATCAGTAGTTAGATTATGCAGCAATATGCTATCTAAAAATAAATTTGAAAACATTTAACTGATTAAAAAAAACAATGATATTCATTAAGAATAAAGATTTAGCTTATTCATTTACATTTATATCACGAATATTTTGTACAAAAAGCTTTTTTTTTATATAAAAGAACAGCGCAGATAAGTTGATTGTAAGACATAAAGCAGCATTTTCTTCGAAACATATATGAGCCGCGTCACGACAAAACCAACATAATCGGTTTGCGACCAGCATGGATCCAGACCAGCCTGCGCATCCGCCAGTCTGATCAGGATCCATGCTGTTCGCTTACAAACCCTAATACAAGTAGAGAAACTGATAGCGAAAAGCATGGATCCTGATCAGACTGCGCGGATGCGCAGGCTGGTCTGGATCCATGCTGGTCGCAAATCCATTATATATTGGTTTTGTCGTGACGCGGCTCATATGTATCGTTTAACGATGAATTAAATTTTTTTATATATTTGTTTAAGGTGCACCCCCATCATATGAGACTGCCATGAGCTCGTCATACCATGAGAGAATGAAGGAGTATGATTCTGAATGGGATAAGAAAGGAAACTTATGATTTAATTTTTTGTTTAATGATGCTAAAATTCATTCTCATTGAACAATAAATATTGTGATTCGTGTTCAATAATTGTCGTGATTATATTTAAATATCGTGAATTTTTTTAATAAGATAGCATCCTTTAATGCTTTAATGTTTGAGATTCTGTTTAATAAATATACCTGAATAAAAAATTAAACTAATAAATCAATAACGTTAAACTCTTTCGAATATGCATATACAATAAATAAGTAAATAAAATAAAACTATACAGGTATGAAAAAATCATTGCGAAAAAAAGTGTTTAATTTTATTTTATAGCTTATGATTAAGACAATTACCTAAAATTATTTCTAAACGATTTTAGCGCGAATTTTTGTTTTATGATGATGCAAATTGTAAATATAGTTTATTTGTTAGTGAATGGTCTTTCTTATAATGGTGGTGTCGATCTGTCCTGTTATCTGGAGCAGTGAGCCTGTAAGACTGTTCTACTAAAAAAAAATCTGAGATATGTTTAAATGATGCCCTTCTCAGCTAAACCACTTCCAGATATGTCCCCATGTTCACCAATAGACACTTACCCTAGCTTAATGAGTTCTAGACATATTTCCCATGTATGTTAACACTTTCTAGACCCACCCGCAGGTGAACAAACTCAGTCGTTCAGTCTCATCCTTCAGAATAGCCTGTTCTAGAAAAAAGTCTAGCTTTATTAGTTTTAGCATATTCCCCAGTTTAACCAATTTAAGACCCACCCCATCTTATCCATTTTAAACATATCTACAGGTAAAGCCATTCTGGACCAATCCCCAGTTCAAGTATGTGCTGACCTTAAGACCGACCCCTACGTTAACCTGTTTTATGTTTTAGACATACACACGGGTCAAGTATGTCCTGACCTTTCCCCTGAGTTATCTTTTTCTAAAAACTAACCACGCATGTCAAGTATGTCCTGATCTATCCCGTACGTTAAGCAGTTCTATGCCTATCCCCCTGGTCAAGTATGTACTAACATTTCCCCTACCGTAACCAGTTCTACACCTTTCTCTTAGATCAAGTACGTCCTGACCTTTCCCCTAAGTTAACCAGTTCTAGTCCTTTTTCCCAGGTCAAGTATGTCCTGACCTACCCCCAACGTTAACCAGTTCTAGACCTATCCCCACGGTCATGTATGTTCTTACGAATCCCTAACGTCAAGCAGTTTTATACCAAACACCCAGATCAAGTACGTTCTGACCTTTTCTCTAAGTTAACCAGTTCTACACCTATACCCCAGGTTAAGTATGTCCTGACCTATCCCCTACGGTAACCAGTTATACACCTATCACCCATGTGAAGTATGTCCTGACCTATCTCCAGCGTTAACCAGTTCTAGAACAATACTCCAGGTTAAGTATGTCCTGTCCAATCCCGAACGTTAAGCAGTTAAAGACCAATCCTCCAGGTCAAGTATGTTCTGACCTATCTCCTATGTTAACCAGTTCTACGTTAACCAGTTCTAGACCTATTCCCGAGGCCAAATATGTCCTGACCTATCCCCTGAGTTAACCAATTCTAGACCTATCACCCAGGTCAAACGTTAACCATTTGTAGACCTTTCCCCATGGTCAAGTATGTTATGGCCTATCCCCTACGTTAACTAATTCTATACCTATCCCGAAGTTCAAGTATGTCCTGACTTACCCCATATGTAAACCAGTTCTAGACAACTTTCTAGGTCAAGTATGGCCTGACCTTTTCCCTACGTTAACGAGTTGTAGACCTATCCCCCAGGTCAAGTATGTCATGATCTATCCCCTACGATAACCGGTTCTAGACCTATCCCTCAGGTTTGTTTGTCCTGACTTATCCTTAACGTAAACCAGTTCTACACCTATCCCTCAGGTCAAGTATGTCCTGGCCTACCCCCTACGTTAATCAGTTCTAGGCATATTCTTCAAGTTGTTCAAGTTCCAAACATATTCATAGGTAAAACAGTTCTTGGCATGTACCCTTAGTCAAACAGTTCCTGAACTATCTCCTATGTTAACCATGCAGTTCTAAACGTTCCATCAGCTTAACCTGTGCTAGACATATCCTATAACCTTTTTACTGGATAAAATCATTTCTTTGCATATAAATTATAAAAGACTCTTGATGTTTTTGAATATGTGATTAATTATAAAAAAGTAAATTAGTGCGCACATCTGCGAGGGATATAAGGTTCCACATACGAGGGGGATATGTTTCACATACGACCAATATTAAATTATTAAGTTACACATAGGAAAAAATGCTTGTCACTTAGGTTCAAACCATGTCAGGGGCAGCCGTTGATTCCATGAGCAAGAAACTTTACATTTGTTTCTTATTACAGGCAGCCTGGCACATTCAAAAGTGTTTCTACTTTCTATTAGCTTATAGCTTCCAACACAATCGAACTAAAATCATTTTATATAATTTTAGACTTCACATACGACAGATGCTTACAGATAGACATTGCATTTGACCTCCTGTAGTCAAGGTCACTGTGCCTAAAAATATAAAAATGGTTTCCAGGAAAGCGATAGTGTAATCAGACTGGTATGTAGCAAGATTATGAAGAGGCCTAGCTTAAGATTGCTTATGGACCCCTAGGTTTAATGTTAAGTAGTAGAAAGATTGTTTCTTGTCAATTCTTTAACAATAACTGTAAACAGATAACTCTTTTAACAAGGCATTTAATTGTTATAATTATTGGTACAAATATGAAACATCATAACATTAAGGTAGAGTAAAAAGTTTGCTTTAAACCTCTAGTCTTGTTTTACACAAAATTAACGTGGCGGTTGCGGTATGAACTATCTCGTACTTGATTTTTTTGGCTCAGTAGATCTACTGTTCAAGTATCAATTCTTTCATTTTTGGAATAATTATACCAGTACTTTTATATATTCAACATATTTTGCAAAACACACGCACTGTCAAACGATATCATATTATATTGACAGTTTAAGATAAAAAAAAATAGATCTGGATTAAACAAGATTAACACTTCCTCTTCCAGAAACTATGGTGTCATTTTATGAAAACAAAAATACTGGCCGGTAAAACTTTTTGAGATCTCTTCTCTGACCTTTTATTTGAATAACAATAGATTTAACCACAAACATGGAAATGTGTTCTTAGGAAAAAGTATGTGGTGAAATTATTATTGTTACCCACTAATCTGATAATTCAAATTGAACAGATTACGGTCATACAGGGATCCATGCATAGATCTTATGTCAGTACCAGTACTGGGTTACAAAACAGAGTGACTCAAGTACTTGCAAAATGACAACAGTACCAGAAATGCATTTCCTAAATCGTTTTACAACATTGCTTTTAATGAACAATTTTGTTATGACCAAGTTAACTGAAAACATTGCTTATTGTGTAAAGTATTTGTTTAAAACCTTTGGGCACCATCTGTACACACTATCTAATGACGTCACGTGTTTGTGTTTGTTATGTTTTTAGCTGAAGAATGACCTACCGATGAAGGTGAGTGTTTTACAATATATAATCTATTGTACATAATAAACAATGTTATGTGAAAAACACATACAGTATATTATTTCGATAATTCTTAACTTAAACAAAGAAAATAAAACAGTCGGACGAGAAGGCTACTGCTGTAGCTGGCTATTTAGTTGTCAAAAATCATGACGACATAATTTTCAAAAAATACAGAACATGGAACTGCAGTGCAGTACAGTACAGTACAGTTTGCTTGCAGGTGAGGAAGTTATGTGTAACTTAAAACTTAAGAACATTGTAAAAGAATTTTAACAAAACATAAAACGTTCTAGCTCCACCTTACTGTAGTTTTAGATCTAATAGATGATCTATTTACTCGGTTTTTTTTTACTGATTTAGATCTACCAATAAACTTAAAAAATTCTACTGGTTTCCTAGCAGTTTCCGGCCCTAGCAGGTTTTCCGGCACTTTATCATTTTCCTCCAGCACTATTCGGTACTGTATTCAATATTTTATGGTACTCAACTGTATGCAATATCTTTTAAAAGCCCCCATCTCCCGCCCTTCCCTAAACTCACGCACTTTTGAAGTATCAACTTGAAACTTTACATACTGTACCAGTATGGACAGTCTAAAATATTCAGGCAAAATATTGTAGTTAGGGGCCTATTGCCTCTTGTCATTGAATATTTCACATTTGTCCGTGCATAACTCAAAAGGTATAAAACATTATACATTATTAGGATCTGGAAAAAGGTGATCGTTAAGCAATATTGAAGTGTTTAGGTATCACAAATTTCTCGTTTGCATAGTTCTGGAATAATTGCCCTTTGTAATTGTATACCACTTTTATTCCAGGTATAACAACACATTTTATTGTAAAACTTAAGAGAACACAATTCCTTGCTTTTTTATATCATTTTATTTTGGAGCTGTAAGTTTTTCGTACCCATTGTTGCCCAAAGCATAACATTAAAATATTTACTTAAAACATCACAGATTGATAGATCTTTTTAGAACCGTTACTCCCTTATATATAATAAGTCATTGCCGTATGTAATATTTATTTGGTCATACTTGATAAACAAATAAAAACTTACTGAGTTTAAAGATTTCATTTGAGTGTCGATTGTTATGAGATATACATCGGAAAGATTCCACTTTCTTTTGATGTACTTTTAATAGACTATTATGTATACTGAATAAACTGTGACTAAATTCGGGATCCCTCCTATTATCAAAAGAAGACATCAAAGTTACGTGGTATGCGCACACTGAGGCAATATAACTATATAAACAATTCTTTAATTAATTACAAACTATGCAAAACTAATAAGATCTTATTGTTTTAGAAAAACTGTCTACTAATAGAGAAAATGAATATTAAGCAACATGATGGAGCCCTGTTATACGTTGTCATCTGTAGACGATCTTGTTAATGACTATCTGCAGGATGCCGGGGATATTGACAATAGTTTTGATACAATTCTTGACCACGAAGCTCGCAGAATCATGTAAGATATATGTTTGATTAGTGTTATTCATTAAACAGTCATTTAGAACAGTTCAGCTCTTTTTACACATGGCTAGTCAGTTTCGGTAAAAAAAGCAAAAAGTGACTTAATTATAAAATAAAAGTATAAAATATGTTTCCAGGGAGTCTTATATTTTCAGTTTTGTCTTCTTTTTTTGACGTTTTGAGAGAGTTGTTCTATGTTGTATTAGTTTATTATTATATCAAATAACAGTGAAAATATAATATAGCAACGTCGAATATCTAATCAACGATAATTCTAGGACGCTTGCCTGCCTTTTTTCTTTTTAATGTTCGTTTCGCCTGAGTTATTACATAAGGGTAATTTGCTTCTATCCAGTCTAAGTCATCCAGACGACACATAAATTAACACTTCGATCAAAATGCCTTCTAGACATGGCAAAAATAAGAAGGAGGTATGGTTAATTTATATGGACCTTTCCGGTGTTTACAGTTTTATGTAAATTGGCTAACTTGTTATCCTGGTTTGCACAAAAGAACACGTGCTTATGTTTGTGATACTGTTTGTGAGCAGTTGACCTAGCAATGAATGGAAAAGGTGTGGCTAAATGTTCCGCTACGAAAAACCGGAACGGTCCAATGGATTTCAGTTTTATAATTATTTTTTCAGGCCTTGAAATAGATGCTATAAATTCATGTGAAAGGGTATATAACATGGAGGGCATAGAGGAAGCTTGTATCAGATACAACGGCGGGAAATCACTGGGGCGTTGTTCAATTGGATTTGATAATATCGACCCACGTACTGAAATATGTATCGTTCCAGAAAGGATAAAACTAAGCTGTTATTCTAACGTGAAATATTACAAGGACTTTCTGCACGAATTCTTTACAGAGGTATGATATCAAGTTACATTTATTAACAAATATAGATATATCGTAAAAATATGTAATTACTGAAGATGAAACAATACTGTTAAGACAGTATTAGTTCAGATTAAAGCAAACGTAAGGATACAAATGGTTTTCCTTAAAATTATGCGATGGCAGTGTCTATACCACATTTACAAAGAATAAAAAACAATAACAAAAAATACGGGATGTATTATTACCTCCACTTTAAATGTCAAAGTTCCGTCTGACATCAATAACAATTTAAAAGATATAAATCTTTAAAATGTACATATTAAAATCAAAGCAAATGTTAAAATAAGCTTTAACATCAAGTAACATTATATCAAAATGTTTAAATTAACAATTAAAGAACTATATCAGTGTCTTTTTTGTAATAAAATGATCTCCTTATAAAAGCAATATTTCACTATTTTTGCTACATATAGACCTTTTTTACGAAGCGGTCCGTTACTATAAAAATCGACCGGAATTAGAATTTTCTCGCGCATGCGCAATCTGCGTAGGGCAAAAAATACTTCGCCCTACATAGAAATATAATAGAAGTTCATAGACAATTCCGAGTTAACTAGTTCAAGGTAAACGGTAGAAAATTATATAGAATAGCTTTCAACAAATATAGAAAAGATGAATTTATAGCTTTGTGGCGAAGAATGCCATAAAAGGCATGGGAAAGATACTTGTTTAAGAATTTGCGATCACGGACCTGACACTGAGATCATTTTTTAAAAGAAGATGTGGAAATATATCTATTAGCAAATGAAAAGTCAACTTATTTGCTGTTGAAATAGTTCATTTTAAAAACAAAAGAAATTATATAACATGAAATCGAGATTACCTGATTATATCCTTTATCCGATTTGCCTGTGATGCAAACAGAAAAATTTAAGTCACATAAATAGATTTTAAATAATTAATTTTTTTTCTCAAAATCTTGAGAGCATTGGACAATTCTTATCTTACGTATAACAATCGTAGGGAATCTACCTAATTCCCCGTATATTGTAGCATTGGGTGTTTGTTGTCTTACTTGCAATATTTGTTTCATGAATTTCATATGCAGCCGTTCTATATCCGGGGCCTTATGAAACCCCCATATTTCACACCCATAGTTCGTAATAGAAGCAATCATGGAATCAAACAACTTAATTTTTTCCGATACAGTCAACGATACAATATCAAATAATGAAGCAAGAGAAAACAGGGCTTTCATTGCCTGTTGTGATAAAGATTTTTGAGCCTGTAAAAAGCAACCATTGGAAGATAATGTAACTCCAAGATATGTAAATTTTGTGACAATATTAAGTTTACAATTAACAATTATCATAGAATAAATGTATATTTTCTGGTCTGTTGACCTTTATTAAAACCATAACAACTGTTTTATCTATATTAACACTTATCCCCCAATCTGTACAACATGCATGTAAGTTATTTAAAATATTCTGAAGACCATCTCTAGAATACGACATTAAAACAGTGTCATCTGCAAATAACAATAAATACATTCTAATTTCATCAATACAAAAAGAATCTATGGTATTATCATATATACAATGTTGCATAACATTAATGAAAAATAAGAATAGCAAGGGCGATAAAGGTTCGCCTTGCTTAACTCCCTTTATAGTATCAAAATTTTCAGTATAATCTTTTGTAACATCTTGACTAATCTAGAGGAAGCACAACACTGTAACAATTTAAACCATATATCATTCCTGTAAACCATATCAAACGCTTTACGAAAATCTATGAAAGCACAATAAAGTTTTTTCTTCTCATGGGAGATAACTCTTTCTATTATGAATGTTAAAACAAATTTACAGTCGACCGTGCTTTTGTTCTTCCTAAAACCAAATTGGAAATCGGACAATAATTCATTTGATTCGGCCCATTTGCGAAGACGTGTATTTAAAAGTGTAGAAAATATCTTAGAAAAAATGCTAGGAAGAGTAATTCCTCTATAATTATTCACATTATTTTGATCTCCTTTTTTAGGAACTGGGACAATTACAAATACACCTTTAGTTCAGCTTTCTGGGTAGTTACAATTAATATACATATGGTTAAAAAGTTTACACAATAACGGTGCAAGTATATCGTTGCATTCAATAAACATTTCTGGAATAAGGCAGTCAATACCTGCGCTTTTTCTTCGTTT